GCATTGGTGGAGTCCCCATCCCTGGAGGGGTTCAGAAAATGTGTGGACATGCCCCTTGGGGCCATGGTTGAGTGGTCATGGGAGTGCTGGGTTGATGGTTGGACCTGATGATCTTAGAGGGCTTTTCCAACCTTGGTGATTTGATGATTCCATGAAACGTCCTGATGCGAGCCCTTGCTGGGGTCTCTGCTGGGGGCTGGTCCCTACGGTGGGGGCATGTGAGGTGGCAGAGGGGGTGACAGGCTGGTAGAGAATGCTCCCGGTCCTCATTAATCACTCTCATGATGGTGGCATCACCCCCTCCATCTCCATCTAGAGACTGGGTGCTCTGATGAGCTCATTAATTACTTAACTGAGCTGTCGGGAAGGGGAAATGCTGTCACCCTGATATGTAGACATGGGTTTGAGGTTCACACTGGCATGTGGGCACAGGTTTGAGGGTCATTGTGGCACGTAGGCGCAGGGCTTTGGGTCAGAATGGGCAAGGGGACATGGCTGAGAGTCACCCTGGCACATGGGCATGGAGCTGAGGGTCACCTGAGAGGTGGACATGGCTGAGGGCCACCCTGGCACGTGGACGTGGAGCTGAGGGTCACCTTAGAGGTGGACATGGGATTGAGGGTCTCTGTGGCCCATGGGCGTGGGGCTGAGGCTCAGGCTCAGCAGGTGGAGTGGCTGAGGGCCACCCTGGCACGTGGGCACGGTGTTGAGGGGTCACCCTCTCCTGGCCCTGGCCCATGCAGGGGTGCTTCTGGCGGGTCCTGAGCCAGCACCCTGGGAGCTGTGTCCCGGCCCGACCGCGCCGGTGTTAATCTTCCCGGATGGTTTTAATGGAATTGAAAGGCGAGGAGGGATTATCCCAGGAGAACCCATTAATGGGTGGCCTGGTGCCAGGGCAGGCTCTCAGCCGGCCCTGCCCGCTCCTGCCTGCGGATGTTCCAGCCGCCAACACCACCGTGGCACTTCAGAGCCACGTCCCTCTCCCTGCGGAGGGATTTTGGAGGGGCTCGGGGCCGGTCTCGCCATCCCCAGGATGGAAAACCCCTTAGGTGGGACCATCCTGGTTTCTCGGGTGGCTTTGGGATCCAGCCGTGCCCTCCACAGCCCCCGGGGCAGAGGTGACCGTGGGGGCCTGCCCCGGGGCAGAGGTGACCGTGGGGTCCTGCCACGAGGAAGCTGCCACAGCTTTACCCCCAGCCCCTTCTGAGCGTCCCCGTGTGCCGCCTGAGCTGTGGTTTTAATTGACTTCCAGGGAACTGGAACCAAATCGAAGCCCCCGGCGCAGGGGAAGGTGCTGGAGGGCAGCTGGGTGCTGAGCTGCAGCCCCTTGTGGTAGCATCTGGGCACCTTCCCCCTGAGATGACACCTCTGTTCTCCAGAGCTGGGTGCTGGCGGTGGCCATGCCTGCTCCTTCATCGGGGTGCTGAGGGTTGGCCAGCTCCTGGCACCCAACGGCGCTGTGCCACAGGGTGCTCCTCTCCTGCCCTGCTGGGGCACCTTGTGGGGCACCTTTCATGACAGGGCCTTTGTGCAGCACCTTCTGCGTTGTCTCTTCCCCATGTTGCCTCCTTTCATGGCAGGACCTTTGATCCAGCACCTTGCAGAACACATTGCATTACCCCTGGCCACCTCCTCACCAGGCCCTGGACATCCCACCCCTCTTGGATCCCATCCCACCCCACAGGACGTGGCCAAAGCTGAGACCTCCCACCCCACCCCACAGGGGCAGAACTCCCATCCTACCCCACCCCTTGACCCCCTCTTTGTTCTCTTTCAGGGTCTTCAAGAAGGCCAGTCCCAATGGAAAGGTGAGTTGGGGGGTGCTGGTGCTTCCTGTGGTGAACTTCTTCCAAAATCCTGCGAGCAGAGCCAGGAGGAGGTGAGGGCTGATGGGCATGGGCCTAGACCCCAACGATGTCCACACCCTGCCACACCAGCAGGAGGGGAAACTGAGGCACGGCAGGTTTATCGGGTGGCGCTTGGTGCCACCAGTGAGAC